AAGTAAAAAAACATATAACCTTAAAAATATCACATTAAAAACAATGAAAATTTTTTAATAGTTTTTAAATAATCAATAAAAAAAATGCTAAATGCTAAAAATGGTTGGTTAAAACAGTTGGTTTGTGCAGTTTGTTTAGAAAAAAAATTTGAATATTCAAAATCTTTAGAAAAAAAGTAGCAAATAAAATCAGAGTATATCTGAGTAAAATGTTAAATTTTCTGCCATAATTGTAAAAACATAATAATAAACATAATTGTAAAAACATAATAATAAACATAATTGTAAAAACATAATAATAAACATAATTGTAAAAACATAATAATAAACATAATTGTAAAAACATAATAATAAACATAATTGTAAAAACATAATAATAAACATAATTGTAAAAACATAATAATAAACATAATTGTAAAAACATAATAATAAACATAATTGTAAAAACATAATAATAAACATAATTGTAAAAACATAATAATAAACATAATTGTAAAAACATAATAATAAACATAATTGTAAAAACATAATAATAAACATAATTGTAAAAACATAATAATAAACATAATTGTAAAAACATAATAATAAACATAATTGTAAAAACATAATAATAAACATAATTGTAAAAACATAATAATAAACATAATTGTAAAAACATAATAATAAACATAATTGTAAAAACATAATAATAAACATAATTGTAAAAACATAATAATAAACATAATTGTAAAAACATAATAATAAACATAATTGTAAAAACATAATAATAAACATAATTGTAAAAACATAATAATAAACATAATTGTAAAAACATAATAATAAACATAATTGTAAAAACATAATAATAAACATAATTGTAAAAACATAATAATAAACATAATTGTAAAAACATAATAATAAACATAATTGTAAAAACATAATAATAAACATAATTGTAAAAACATAATAATAAACATAATTGTAAAAACATAATAATAAACATAATTGTAAAAACATAATAATAAACATAATTGTAAAAACATAATAATAAACATAATTGTAAAAACATAATAATAAACATAATTGTAAAAACATAATAATAAACATAATTGTAAAAACATAATAATAAACATAATTGTAAAAACATAATAATAAACATAATTGTAAAAACATAATAATAAACATAATTGTAAAAACATAATAATAAACATAATTGTAAAAACATAATAATAAACATAATTGTAAAAACATAATAATAAACATAATTGTAAAAACATAATAATAAACATAATTGTAAAAACATAATAATAAACATAATTGTAAAAACATAATAATAAACATAATTGTAAAAACATAATAATAAACATAATTGTAAAAACATAATAATAAACATAATTGTAAAAACATAATAATAAACATAATTGTAAAAACATAATAATAAACATAATTGTAAAAACATAATAATAAACATAATTGTAAAAACATAATAATAAACATAATTGTAAAAACATAATAATAAACATAATTGTAAAAACATAATAATAAACATAATTGTAAAAACATAGTAATAAACATAAAATTTGCTCAAATTGTAAAGAGATTTTCGCTGGAGAAATGTTGAGTAAGATTTCTCAAATATATAAACTAATAATATCTATGGCTATATAGGTTTTTATTTTCTTTATTAAATTATTAAAAATATGTTTATATAGACCTTAAACTTATAAAACACTCAGTAGATACAAAGCTTACAATTAAGCAATTATTTTGATTGCTAACAACTTTTTCAAAATGCTTACATTGTAAATTTAAGATAGAGGTAGGTCAAAATTATATACAATTTAATTATACTTTACATATATACTTATATTTCTAAAATGAAAATCCATTAACTTTAACTGTCAAAACTAATGACAATAATTCTTCTAAAAAAACATTTAATCTTCATTCCAAACAGTGATAGAATAACTTCTATACTGAAATTAATGGAATTAACTTCAGTACTAGAATTAATAGAATTAACTTCTGTACTAGAATTAATGGAATAACTTTTGTACTGGAATTGATGGAATTAACTTCTGTAATAAAAATTGATGGAATAACGAGTAACAGGAAATGAATTTCAGTAGGTGGCACAAGAGACAGCACCCATTATAGTATTAATAGTAAAGAGAAAGAGAAGCAACATTACAACAATGTGACAATTATTAAAGGTTTGCTGCAAGAGCAGGTCCAATTATGTTTACAATGCATTTTTGCACCTTGTCTTAAAGAGAAAAGGCATTATTCAAAGATTTGCTCCAGATATGACAACAGTATTCCATACAAGGACAGCTTAGAGATTTGTAGAGATAAAAAATAGAATTCAAAATGATAAAGTGGAGAGCACGATAAAGAGTTGCAGATCTTAGCAGATGCTAATTTTGCGATCAATTTGATATATGGTTTCTATGAAAGATCAGAAGAAGAGTTAATCCTAAAAGACAAAGGCAATCCTGGTATCCTGATTCATCAAGTACATTATCATTCATAAATATAGGAAGATTTATATTATTGATTAGCTAAAAAAGATTTATATTAATAATGATTAGCTAAAAAAGCTTTATATGAATTAAAGTTCACCAGCCACTGAGAGCCCCATGCTGAAGCAGAAGTGAGATTTTCAAGCTCAAATGCACCCTCCAAGCAATCATAAAGTATTGGCTTTTTGTCATGACAAGAATAAATAGTAGTATTATCTGTGAACAATCTCACATTAGATGTGAGAATTTCTGGGAAATTATTAATGTAAATTAAAAAAAGTATAGTGCCAAAAATAGAACCTTGAGGAGCTTCTGAAGTTACAGGAAATAAAGAAGAGTACTGTCAACCGAGGATAACTTTTATACTACAATAAGCATGTTCATCAGTTCCATTACAGAAGTTAATTCCATCAATTCTAGTACAGAACTTAAGTTTACCAAAATGTTACCTGATACACCATAAGAATAGTGCTTATGGAGAAGACCAGTAAGCTAAACTCTATCAAAAACTTCAGAAATGTGATGTTAGGCCCTGTAGATGTTAGGGTTATCACAAGAGTGAAAACCCTAGCATCTACCTGGCCAACGACACAGGTTTCAAAGTGGGGGGCACAATCGTCAATTTCTAAAAAAACGTCTCTATATCTAGAATTTTCTTTTTTAAAAAAAAAAGGTCCTTTAGAAAAAAAGTGGGGGTGGGGCAAATGCTCCCTGTCCCCCCCTTGGTGTTGTTGGCCCTGATCTACACATCTATTTAATGCTTGATAAAACTTAGTCAGCCTTCTCCATTTGACGAGCGCTATTGCGCTCTTGCAGCTTTGCGCTAGCCCACACTCCCGCCAATACTATGGCTGGCGTTTTTTTAAGCGCTCACCAAAAAAATTTCAAGCGTGTTTTTAAATTGCAACAAATCTTTTTTAATCAAATTCTAATTAAAGAGGTACAAAAACAAATATTTTTTAAAATCACGCATGCCAGAAAAGTAATTTCTATCCGGCCAGTGCTTTTTGTGCGTTTGCGGTAAATTTCAAATGGAGAAGACTGTATAGTATATCATTAAATAAATATAACTAGTCAGATGATAAATTTTATATTTGATGAATATTTGAATATTTGCAATTCAGATTTGTAATTCAGATTTGTAGTCAGATGATAATCAAAACCAGGCAGAAGATAAACAGCATCAAATAAGTCTAACTAGTTAATAGATAAGTAGCAACATCATTTAAGCTTTATTAGTGATTTTTCTTATTCTTCAGTTGTTCAGTTAACTGCAATGATAGTGCAAAAACAAACATCCATATCTAAATTTGTTACTACAACAACAAGTAATCAGAGGGATGAACTGGATTAGCATGTGATCACATTGATGATATTTAAAAAAATACAGTTATGAAAAATTGCAAATTTTGCAAAATTGAAACAGTAGTTGCACACTTGTCCAGCTAGTACAGGACCTATTAATAGATTTTTTTCATCCTTTCACATTACTCGGTGCAAAATTAGGAATTACGTCTAAATTAGAAAACGCGTGTACAATTAGAAAATGCGTCTACAATTTTATATACAATGATTAATAATTACAGATCAAATCAAAGTTGAGACCATTAAGTTGGGAGTTTAGTTTTAAGGGGTTTGAGGTTTTTGGGTACCAACCCTGTTAAGAACTGCAATAAGAACACACAGGAGAAAAATAAAAAGATAATGATTTAAATTTATTTTAAAATTGTGTGATATAATTTGTGATCCACCCCAAAACAAACTTGATTTTGTGATTAAACAAAATTTGAAGCCATTGTAAAACCATTTGCCAAACCTAACTCTTTAATTAAAATTATTTACAGACTTTCAAGGCTTTTATTGTCAAATATAGTCTATTTTCCTGACTTTTCAGAAACTAAAAACCCTGTAATTATTTTTTGTAATAATTTTTAATTGGTTTTTAACATATTTTGTAGTATATCTATGTAAAGTCTTACAAAATTTATACTGTAAAATTAATCTTTCAAAATGGTTTATTCTACAAAGCTGTGTGTTGAGAATAAAAAATATTGTGCATATATATATATAAACCCTCAGAATTAGGGTCGACATTTGGTGATGCCGACCTAACTGCTAACCTTAAAATGTTTGAGGTTGGCAAAAAAATTGCTGACCTCATTTCTATGCTCTATGGTAAGACCTTAGTATCAAATTGTTTTTGCTGACCTGATGTCGACTTCTAAAAGATTGAGGTCGGTAATAATTTGCCAACCTCATTTTTTCTTAATTCCGAGGGTTGATATATATATATATATATATATATATATATATATATATATATATATATATATATATATATATATATATATATATATATATATATATATATATATATATATATATATATATATATATATATATATATATATATATATATATATATAGACATATGTATATATATATATATATATATATATATATTATATATATATATATATATAAATACATAAATCTCACTTCTCTTTCTGCTATAATTAATTTTTTTTGTAATTTATTGCTGTCTTCTTTAGTAGATGATTCGCTATCTAACTTAGCTTGCAATTCTTGAAACTTTGCTTCAAATTTTTTTTTAGTGTCTGTTTCAACATCTAATTTACGTTGTATTTCTTTTATGTCATGTTTATATAGTGCAGCTGCTCTTTCTAAGTCTCGTATTTTTATTTCCCCATTTTTGCGTAATTCCACCTTAAAAATATAATAAATAATATAACACTTTATAACAAAAATAAACATAAATAAAAATTAAGAAACTTGCTTAATAAAGAAATTTTTAAACTTTTTTACCTCTGCTTCCCAATCACTGGTTAATTTCTGTGTCTTATTTTTCAAATTTCTGAAGAAAATTATTTTGAAAATTTTCAAAAACTAGTAACAAACCAAAAAAAAAAAAAAAATTTTTTTCTTAAAAAAAAATCTTTTTAAGACAAAAAATGTATTACTTTAAAACTTTTTCTGATTCATCTTTAGCATTTTTTTCGTTTTTTAATTGATTTTCAACTTCTCGGATTTTAGTTAATAAACTTTGGACCTAAAGTAGTTAAAATTTAAATTAAAAAAAAAATAAAAAAGTAGTAATTTAGAATTAAATAACAAAGAATAAAATAAAATTTGTTAAAGTTCACGAGCCTCAACTTTTCCTCAAATTTATCTCTTAAATTTAATGGCTACACTCTTGCGTGGCCATGAGATTCAAGAGACCACTTAGAAACAGGTTAATCCATTGTTAGGGATACCATCCATGCACAACATGGCAGTCTTTTTAGTTTTTACTTTAAGAAAAGTTTAAGGTATGTATATACATAAAAGTTGAAGATATATATATATATATATATATATATATATATATATATATATATATATATATATATATATATATATAATATATATATATATATATACATATACTGTGCAGACGTCCAAGTCTGCACAGTATATGTATATATATATATACATATACTGTGCAGACGTATACTGTGCAGACTTGGACAGAAATGTTACGCACTGTAACTGACCATGTATAAAGTATTTTTTCTTTAACTTAATTTTTTTTAATTGTAAATTCACCTTCCCACTACAGATAAGGAGGTTACTTATTGTCATAAATAAACATTTTATATCTTTTTTCTGAATTATACAGACAATTATATCGTTAATTTATATTGTTAAAAAAAAATTAAAAAGCAAAAATTATTTATAGAAAATAAAGTTAATTAGATGACAATTAAAAATTAGTATTTTAGCATTAATGCTAAATTTTTTTATGGTTTAGTGATGCGTTGTTGCATAATCCATAAGTGACCGAAGTTATAATACTTTAAAATTTCACTGATTTTTAAAAATTAAAAAAAAAAAAATTCAAATATTTTTAATTTGGCTCAATAATATTAGTGCTAAATAAGATCATTTAATCCAATACTTTGCTTATTTCAATAGTATGCAATCATGCATATGTTGTATATTATAATTCGGGTGCTTTTTTTTATTTTTCTAAAATGACCGAAGTTACATGGTGACCGAACTTAGGCAATTTTATGATAACACTATTTAATAATTTAAATAAAATTTGTTCATTTATTAAATAAACATTAGAAGTAGTTTGTTGCATTTAAAACAATTTAAAAAGATAAGTTTTAAACTAATTTATTTCAAACGCAATTAAAAACGTAATTTTTTTCTTCTTTTTTTCTTAGTTTAAGATTAGCTAATCAAAAAAGATCATTAGTGCTGTCAGCAAAAACCTTCTATCACACACCATTCCTGTCCGAGTCTGCTGTGTATATATTAATTAACCTTATAAAAAAACATATACCTTAAAAAATTACATGTATGCCTTATCAAAAAAACCTTTTGACGTACCTTACTATTATTCTCTTCAGATGTTCCCTAAAAAATTATAATTAATAATTAAAATTTTAACAATATCAGACAATTACTGGTTAAGATAAACAGCATCTGTAACATTCATACCTGATTTCCTCCAATTAATCTAAGAATAAAAAACATTTCTTTAAATTATATATTTATAAAATATAGAACTTGCAACTTAAAATTGCAACTTAAAAATGAACACAAAAATGAACACAAAAATATATAAACATCAATCAACTATAACTAAATTTTTTAAAAGTATAAAATTTACAATATAAAAAAATATATTATTATTATATTAAACTATAGACACATACACACACATATATATACATATATACATATTTGTGGTTGACAAAAAAAAGCCGACCTTGTTTCTCTGTTTTATGGTAACCCCTTTGTAACAACTTTTTTATGCCAACCTTTTACATTTTAAGATCATCAATTTATTGCCAACCTTAGTTTTTCTAATTCTGAGGACTATGTTTTAGGGTAACTCCTTTGAGTCAAATTATTTTTTGTAGACCTGATGCCAACCTCTAACAACTTGAGGTCCTAATTTCGAGGGTTGTGTATATATATATGTATGCGTGTATATATATATATATATATATATATATATTATATATATATATATATATATATATATATATATATATATATATATATATATATATATATATATATTTATATATATATATATACATATATATATATATATATATATATATATATATATATATACATACATATATACATATATATATATATATATATATATATATATATATATATATATATATATATATATATATATATATATATACATACATATATATATATATATATATATATATATATATATATATATATATATATATATATATATATATATATATATATATATATATACATACATATATATATATATATATATATATATATATATATATATATATATATATATATATATATATATATATTTATATATATATAACCCTTAGAATTAGGGTTGGCATTTGGCATTGCCGACCTAGGAGTGTTTGAGGATGGAAAAAAATCGCCAACCTCGATTCTATGTTTAATGGTAACCCTTTGAGTCAATATTTTTTTGCCAACCTGATGCGGACTTCTAAGAGTTTGAGATCAGCAATTTATTGCTAACCTCATATTTTCTAATTCCAAGGGTTGTATATATATGAGGTTATTTTTTTAAACAATATAACTTTTAAATAATTTTATTCATAATTTAAATTAAACATTTCTTTCTTTTTTGTTTTCTATTTTTTATTATTAAATTTGAAAAAATGTTTGTTTTTAATATAATTATTTTCTATAGAATTTAAATAAAACATTCATTTTGCTGTTGCTTTTAAATTAACTTGTTCAGAATTTAAACATTTAATTTTGTTGAAACGGATAACAAAGTTGAATGTTTCCATTCATTAGCATCTATAAGCAACTATGTTGCTGCAAAAAAAAAAGCTTTACTATGTATTGCTACTAAGCATGTGCATACATGCAGTGCATAGCTAGAATAGTAGCACAAATTTATTCTTAATGCAGTAGCACAGATTTATTCTTACTGCAAAGAAAATAAATTTTAAAGTAAAGCAAGAATATATCTTTTGATAAAATCTTGTCAACAATTGAAATTTACTTTTAAAATGGAACTTGTGTACCTTTTTTTATCTCCTTATATGGATAGATGTTCTGTTTGGATATATTATATATAATATATCCAAATATTATATATATATTATATATATATTATATATATAATATATATATTATATATATATATATATATATATATATATATATATATATATATATATATATATATATATATATATATATATATATATATATATATATATATTAGGGTGGGCTGAGAAGTTTTTGATTTGCTATACCGCGGAAAACATGCTTCAAGGGTATCTAAGGAAAATGCAAAAAAAATAATACTAATATTTTACATCTGGAGCTAGAGCATCATACTTGAATATTTGAATAAATACTCGTTTTTTGTCATTTTCGTAACAAAGTGCGTTTTAGAGTATTCCCAAAATGCGCTGCAAAATTGGTGTTTTTCTTTCCACAACAACTTGTTTTGATATAATTTTGTTTTGATTACTTGATAATATTAACCAATCTGTGATGGCTGTTTTTAAAAAAATTACTCGTAGCGAATTTAAGTGCCTGATTTTTGGTCATCCAATAGAATCATCTGCAAATAAACATCCAACTTATGAAGAAGTTCTTAAGTGTTGTTTTAATGAAAATTGCCAACTAGCCTTGAAATCAAACAACAAACCAATTAAGTTTTCTTAAGTTTCAAATTGTGTTGCACAACAAGTTAAATCAGTGTTTGATAAAGCTTCAATACCCACAGTAACAATTTACAGAGTTGTCCAATTAATAAATGGATACTATGACAGTTATCGCAACCTTATGAAATCCTTCAAGCGTGATAAAGAAAAAGAAAAGTTCAAAAAGAGCGTTGAAGATTTTAAAACAAAATCATTGTTATTGTTTGATGTCTCGGCGTGTAAGTGTAAAATAACATTAGACTGCAAATGTAAAATGGTAACTGAAATTTGTGAATGTGAGTGTTCTGTTTCAATTATCTGTATGTGTGAAAAAGAAAAAAAAATCATCATTGAACTAAAATTTGTGTACTTCCAAAGAATGCATGGTACTGGTAAAAGCAGAAGTATTGACATAAAAGAAACAAAAAAAATTACACAAAGACACGATAGGAAATGTGCCGAACTTAAAAGAACTATGCCCGCTAATAATCATGCTCAAACATTCATGCTTAAACCATTTAGATGAAATACGAAAACAAAAAGAGTTCGATAGTGATGCCTCCGTAGCTATTACAGAAGTCATCAATGAAGAATTAGAAAAATTTAAGCTAACTAAGCCATCATGGAAGATGCGTATTACAATGAAAAATACTACTCTGACTAGCGATCGCTATGGATTATCAGACAGAGTAACAGCAGCTATTGCCTCAAGTGTTTTGCAAGATTTTGGTATCGTAACCAATTATGATCCCAGTCTTGTTGTTGACAAAAACAAAAATAGAAGAGCAAAAGTGGCTAACCGTTCACAACTTCAAATCCAGAGCAAGGAGAAATATAACCCACTTCAAGGACTGTATTTTGATGGAAGGAAGGACAAAATTGTAGTGGTTAAAAAAATTAAATCGAAACAATTTCGACAAACCATAAAAGAGAAACATTACTCAATTTTACAAGAACCAGGTTCCGTGTACATTGGTCATGTTTCACCAACTTCTGCGTCTGCTGAAAACATTGCCAGTAACATTATTTCATATTTGAATGAATCTAGATTTTCATTTCATGAACTGGATGCAATGGCACTGTTACTAACACGGGATGGAAATCCAGTGTTATGCCACAATTGAAAAATATGTAAACCAACCACTGCAGTGGGGGATTTGTCTCTTACACTTCAACGAATTGCCATTCGAGCATTTATTTCAAATGTTAGACGGAGAAATAACAGGCCCAAAATCATTTAGCGGTCCAATCGGCGCACAGCTTAATAAGTGTGAAAAATTACCAGTGGTAAAATTTGTCAGTGTCCATTGTGAAATTCCAGAAATTGACCGCAAAATTTTAAGCAAAGATCAGCAGTTCTTGTTGAATATAAGTTCTGCTATTAAATCAGGCAGTTGTTCAGAAGATTTATCTGTTCGTGAACCTGGATTAGTTTCACACTCAAGGTGGTTAACATCTGCAAACAGAGTTTTATGATTGTATTTAAGCCTTGAAACCCCTACAGAGGAGCACAAAATCTTAGTTTCTTTTCTTTTAAAATCATATGTCCCTGGATGGTTTCATATAAAAAAAGTAAATACTTCACAAATGGAGCAGAAGATGTATTTGAAATGATAAAGTTGTCAAGGTTCCTGCCCAATGATTTGCAAAAAGTACTAGACCCAGTAATTGAGAAAAACAATTTTTTGCACATTCAGAAAACTTGCTTTTAACAATAGTAGTAGACAAAAGGGTTCATATTAGGGAAGAATTGTAAAGGCAAGAAGCGTAGCTTCTCAAATAAAGTTAATCAGGAGTTTTCAACCACCCAAAATTAATTTCCTTGCTACCGACTATACAGAGATGATTGACTGGAACACTACCATACTTTTGCCGCCACCTTTGCTGCGAAGAGTCTCAAATAAAGATATTTAGTCAAAGATGCAATCAGGTGAAACAGCGGCTGAGTGGAACTTTGAAAAGTTTCCATTCCACACCCAAGCAGGAGAATGATGCATAAAGCTTGTAACAGAGACTTCACAAAAATTAGCTGGCTTCAATTCCAGAGATGGCATTATAAGAACTACACATAACTCCAGATCCTCAATGCCTAATTTTTCAAGCAAATTGTATTTTAAACTACCAACAGAAATTAGAGAAAAGTAAAAGAATATAACAAAAGTCAAAAAGATGGTTTTTTAATTCAAAAAAAAAAAAAATTTTATTTACCATTCCAATACTTTTTTTTACTTAAATTGTCTCTACATACAGTGGCATAGCTAGGGTTTATGATGCCCAGGGCAACGCTGAAAATTGGCGCCTCCCTCCTGAAACAGACATGCGAACTAAAAAAAATATGTCATGGGGGAGACTTTTAGCGATAAGGCCTTGAAGGGGCCGCATATGGAGGTCCTGCTAGGAAGAGGGGCGGCTTAAGAGCCCCTCTCTTCTCAGCTAGGGGTATAGGGTAGCGCTACAAGTTCCCCCAGCAAGGTCTGGGGCGGAGTCCACATCTGACAACGATTTTGCAACATATTATACACCTAAAATTGTGCTAAAGTACCTCATTTTCAGTAATATTTGGACCATCTTGCATTAACAAATTCAGCCCAAAACCCTTTTTTGGTGCCCCCCAGAGAGGCTCCCGGGGTGACTGCCCCACAAGCCCCACCCTTATTACGCCTCTGGGTAGATATTTGTTAAAAAAATTATTTAATCTCATTTCATTTGTAAGAAAATTACAAAAAGGGGAAATTTCTTCGATTATTCAAGCACGATGCGCTAGCTCAAGACAATTTTTTTTTTTTTTTTTTTTTTTTATTTTTTTTTTGCATTATCCTTAGGTACCCTAAAGACAAGTTTTTTACAATATAGCAAGTCCAAAATCAGGAAAAAAAAATTTTTGGACCACCCTAATATATATATATATATATATATATATATATATATATATATATATATATATATATATATATATATATATATATATATATATATATATGTATATATATATATATATATATATATATATATATATATATATATATATATATATATATATATATATATATATATATATATATATATATATATATATGTATATATATATATATATATATATATATATATATATATATATATATATATATATATATTCTATATTCTTATTTAGTTTTTATATTCTATATTTAATAAAACTTATATTATATTTAAAAATATATTAAATAAAACTTGAACTTGCTCATTAAAAGAAAAGAAAACATTAATCTATGTTTTATATATTTCTGAGGCTTTGCTAGTTTAAGTCTCTCAAGTCTACATTCTTTGTCACAAAATAAATAATACCCACTTGAATTTTCCAGAAAAATTTAGTTTTCACTGTAAATGAATAATATTTGTTAACAAATGTACAACTTTTTAAAAATATGTTTATATGCAACTTTTTAAAACTAAATGTGATTCCTGGTGTTAACTTGTTTGCTGATCAAAATTGAGTATTTTTATGGCGATGCTGTCACTAGGAAGATTAATATCCAATTTTTTCTAAACTTCTTCAATTGATGCTCAAAATTAAAATAAGAGAGGGGGAATTAAATTAGAGTTTTCTTTCTCTCAAGTAAGCTACCTTCACCACCCCTAAAGAGTCACACCACTTCTTACCAGTTTAATTTCATGACTAGAGCAATAAAAAATATAACTTCAAACTGTTTTATAATATGTTTTGTATTGTAAAACTCACCACAATAAATAACAAAAGGCATAAAGGCCGACAAAAAACTTTTTTTTTTCTGTTTTCTAGCAGACAATATGTTTTTTGAATAGCATTTCTTATTTTGATAACAAATATGCGACCCATTTTTACTATCACGTAAAGTTGTAAAGATATTTGGGTTCAAACCATTAGTGTCTGGGGAAAAATCCCTAATATTGTCAAGAAAAATTTGTTTGAGACCCAGGTTGACATACTTTTGAATATTTTTTTTTGACAATATTAGGGATAATACTTGAAATGGTGAAAAATGGATTGTATGTTTGAAATCAAATGAGAAATGCTATATAAAAAATGTTTTATTTAACTATGTATTAAATTATTAAATTTCAAAACAAAAATTAATTAAACAAAAATTTTATATTGATCTGTGTAATTTATAAAAATATTTAACTACTACTAATATATTAATAGAATTAATATTAATATAATTTTATTAATTAATATAATATTATTAATTAATTTATTGAAACTATAACTAATGCGTACTGTTTTAAATATTAGGTGCAACATTTTAAAGTTTTTATTTAAGATGAAAAGATGGTTTCTAATTATACTTTCCCACTTACTATTAAAGTTTTATTATGAAAAAACCTCACATTTATGTTATTGGCCACCACTGATAACTGTTTTGTTATTGGTAACAATAACAACACTGATAACAACTGTTTTGTTATTGGTAACAAAAGATCACCACTGATAACAACTATCATGTTATGACTTGTCATTGGTAACAATAATAACACTGACATTAACACACCTGTTATGTTTTGAATAAGTATAACCAATGAATGGCAAATGATTTCCTGTAAAAACCTGAAAAAAAAAAAATCAATTTAATTTTTTTTTGTTACTTGTGTCAATTTGAATAAAATTTTGATAAAAATGTAAAATTTTGATTAGATTATCAAAAAAAATTTAAGAGATTATTATAAAATTTTGATGAAATTGTCATAAAATTTTAATAAGATCATCATAAAATTTTGTTGAGACTTTACAGCGAAATTTAAGCTCGCATATAATTAGAGGATGTCTAGTTAGAGTAAATTTAACTTCAAGGTCACTAGAAGTAAGTCTTTATTGAAAAAAACAACTCAAAAAAGTTTTAATGTGAATAATCTGCATAGGCAAATCAGTACTTTTAGTACTTTTTTTATGGATGAATCTTAATTTTTTTCTATAGTTAATTTTTATTATTAAAAAAATTAACAGTAAAGTTTTGTTTCTTATTTCTGTAAAAACTTTATAAAACAAAATATTTAAAACAAAATAAAACTAAACTTTTTACTCAAAAAGTCCACCTTATTTTTCAATAATTTTTTTTTTATGTAATCCCTAAAATTATAACAGATCTTTTCAATATATTCTGCTGAAATTCTGTTTCATGCTTTGACTAGGGATGTCTTCAGTGTCTCAAAATTGGGGTGAGGTTTACTACAGGCATCAGTTTGAATTTTTGCCCAGACTAATGGGTTAATGTCTGAAAAGTTTGGTGGCCACATTTCCTTTGGTCAAAAATTTTTGATGTTTGACCTCAGCCATTCCTCATTTTTTTGGATGTGTGGCATAGAGTCCCATCTTGGGTAAACACTAGTCATCAAGGTTGAGAGTTGAGTTCAACTAAAACAAAAAAAAAAAAAAACAAAAAAAAAGCATCCTTTAAGGCTGACTAAAACTCCATAATTTTGACAGTTTAAGGTCCTAGCTCAAATATCATCTTTTAAAAATGTTCTCATTGTTGTATTTGCCATGTTCATCTAATTGGATATCTTCTTGATTGATCTCACATGGTTTCTAACAAGCCTAGCATTGACAGCCCTCAATGTTGCTGCAGGAGGCCAGACAATTTTTGATTTCATTTTCGTATTGGCAAATGTAGCAATAAAAAGACATCAAATAAAACTTCTTAAAAACTGTTTACTTTAAATTAATAAACATTTTTAAACAAAAAAATAAAATAAAATATGAAAATATGAAATTGATGTTAAGTTTCTAATAAGCAAAAAATATATATATATTTATATTAATTATTTATTAATAAGTAATTTATATATATATATATATATATATATATATATATATATATATATATATATATATATATATATATATATATATATATATATATATATATATATATATATATATATATATATAAATTTGTTACAAAATCCATCAAAATTCCCTGTCTATTCAATGACTTTTGCAAAATTTTATATATTACCTGGCTTTTCTCTGGCTTTTTAACATAGTTTAGTATTTCCCTAACTTATGCAGGTTTTCCAGGTTGCTGGCCTCTCTAGGTGTTTATTTAAACTTTAACCTTCCAGTACCTTTTTTTCATTCTACATTACCATAAGTTTGAAAACTAGTTTGAACACAAAAAACTGTGGCAACTTTATTGGACACAATTCAAGCACTGAGAAGATCATTAATTCATTCGCTTTTTGACTTCATTTTTATGCTGTTTTTTGTTGTTTTTTAAAAAAAAAAAAAAAAAAAATCTGCACTTTTTAAATTTGTCTATATATAGAATTCAAAATATCTTGGAAGTTTTATCCCAGATTTAACCAAATCTATCTTAATTTAACAGTCACATTTTTTTGACTTACCCACTATACATATATATATAATATGCACATATCCATTATATTTATATATGGGCTACAGTTTACACCTGATAATGTTTTCTAATTTAAACAAAAATTCAAAACGCAGAGCATATTAAAGAGTCATTTAAAATGTTTTTATTTATAATGAAAAAATAAAATAAATTATGAAATAACAAAAATATAAGAGAATATAAAAAAAGTGTAATTCTTAGTATTTTCCAAATACCTTTGATAATTCAAATGTATCAGTATTTTTTTTTTCTAGATCAGAAAAATCATCAAAATTTCTGGTATCAATATCACTATCTAAATCAGGTGTGAACTTGGCAACATCTAAAAATATATATTAAAACATACAAAAATTAAATATATAATTAATGTGCATAAATATAATTAACAAACATATAAAACCTATTATATAACCTATAGAATCCATAATTTTTTAAAAAAACTTCCAAATTACAAAACTGAGTTTAAGTAACTCATTTTGTTTCCTTTTTTACCTCCCTTATCTCTTATCTTTCTTATCTCTTATCTTTTTATCTATTATCTCCCTTATCTCTTATATTTCATATCTATTATTTTTCTTATCTCTTATCTTTCTTATCTTTTATCTTCTTTATCACTTCCACAAAAAATATTAAAACATGATAAAATAAAAACATGAGGCATCTTAAATTGGATATATCTTCATAAATCATATGATAATTATATGATACCTTCATATATCATACAGTATTCATATAGTATCTTCATAGATCAAATCGCACCTTCATGGATGAGTAATAATGATTGGATAAATAAATCATGAAATGAAAAATTAAACTACTGATACTACCTAAACAACAGCATTTTCTTGAGAAAAATAAGAATATAATCAACTTTATTAAATAACATTAAAAAAAAAACTTTATTTCTTTTACTGAAAACTTGATAATTAAGTTAATGATTTTAAACAATTGATGTAGAACAGATAACTAAAAATATGTTAATACATGTAAGGCAGATAACTAGTAGCTTAGAAAAGGAAGCTTTTATAATAGCTGACAAAACCATAGCAGCATAAACATTTGGCTAGAGGAAGAAAAAAATTAGTCAGGAGACAAAAGGTCCACAAATGACTTTGAATGAACTTACTGCTTCGTATATTATCCCAGTTCCAATCTTCTCTTTGAAAAAACTTATAACTTTTAATTTCGTCTATCCCGTTTCTACCAAGCCGATGTTCTCTATAAAAAAAACATTAGTAAAATCAGTAATGATATTCTCTATAAAACACATTAGTCAAAGCAGTAATGATGGTCTCTATAAAAAAAAAATTAGTAAAACTAGTAATGTTTTCTATAAAAAAAACTAGTAAAATCAGTAATGAGATTTAATATTATATAAGATATATAAGGTATTTTAACATTAGAGAATTATATTGCAAAATTAAATTATAAAACAAATTACGTTTATAAAATAAATATAATTAAATTATGTAAATAAAATTGAATTATGTATCCTATAAATAAAATAGTATTATGTAACATATAAATAAATCACTGAATTCTGGGCTTTATTGAGAGAAAAAAAAGTATGGGAGACTGTGAATGTGTCCAGTCAAAATAGCTTGCTTAAAAAACTACTTTGAACAAAAAGTGACTATTATGGTGAGAAATCAGAATCAAGAAATCAATGAATCAGAATGAAATGCTGTAGTGGTAGAACACTTGCTTTGTAAGCAAGAAGTTCTGAAATGGATCTCCACCATGCTCTTGGTTGTACTGAGCTTAACTTGTTTCTGCGCACAGTGGCCTTCTTTATCAAAAAAACGCTTCATTTTTGGAGTAGAAAGGTTATCTTTTCATAATAAATATTTAAAAAATGACATTTGTGGAGGTAAATTTGCTGGTATATGTAAGTACACCAAAAGTAACAACATACAAAAAAAATTAAAAATGAAACTTGCAATGAAGCAAATCATTTATGTTTTATTTGCATAAAGCATAAAAAAAAATTATTATATTTACATAATTTTTTTTTTTAATTTTAATTTTTTTTTATTTACAAATACTGAAATTAATTTATTTTGTTTAATTGAAAAAAAATTATTTTATAAATATACTATAATTTTAATACAAGTTACTAAATATTGAAATTTAAACCATAAATTTACTTGCTGTCGTGTTTGAATCTCACCCTGTCCTTTAAATGCCTTTGTTGCTTTTATCTGAGTATTATGACCCACCAAAAAAAAAACATATTTCAAAGAATTTAATGCAAAAAATTTCTTATTTTTTTTACTTTTGTGGAGTCTTAAATTACTTGAATCTATAGAGTTAGGAAACCATGGGCGCAAACCACGGCTTGCCTTAATTGTTGGAATTTAATGGAATTTCATTTCTTTCTTTTTTTTTGTTAAAACTAGTTACCAGCCGATAACAGCCCAATAATACAAAAATGCTGTATAATTTTTTTCCTGACTAACGCCCTGGTATGCTTTGACATCTTCCTGGTATGCTTTGACATCTGTATTTGTATATCATTAAAGAAACTAGCCCCAATATGATAACAGTATTCCATACAAAGTCAAATAGGAGATTTATGGAGGTAGAAAAAAGGAATTAAAAGTAAGATAATGGCAAGCACAATAAAGAGAGGTAACCAATGGAGATGCATTACAAAAGATTGGATATATTGCTTCTATTAGCAATCAGTAAGCAAACGTTTTTAAAAATTGAATCGGTACTTTATGTCATTTTTAAAAAAAAAGACCATCAAACTTACAATTTTTTTATTTCAGTTGTGTTGCAAATATTTATAATTTTTTACTAGTTAGAACAGCAAAATAAGCTGGGTAACATCACCTTGATCAATTTCAGTAACTGATTTGTTTATAATATCATCATTATTCTTTTTAGAGAAGACACCTTTGGCATTAATAACATTAATGATGTCACTGTTACTGGAATCTGAGATTTTATTATCAAATGCGTAAAATAAACAAAATCTTTTGTAAAGTTCAGTTCAACATCAAGTTTAACATCAGTTTAACATCAAGTTTAACATCAAGTTTAACATCAGTTTAACATCAAGTTTAACATCAGTTCAACATCAAGTTTAACATCAAGTTTAACATCAAGTTTAACATCAGTTTAACATCAAGTTTAACATCAGTTTAACATCAATAACTTTTTTTTACTATTTTAAAACAGTGTTTATTTATATTTAAACTAAATCAGCTATACTTTTTAAAAATATTGAGTTTAATTGAGCTTAAATTTTCTGAGGAGTAATGTTCTAAATTATATGATTGGTTTAACGCCACAAGGTTTACTATTCTAAGTGTCACATAGCTTCAAACAAATATTGCGTATGTAAACACGAATATAAAAATTTTAATCTTGCCTTAAAGAGATTCCCAAGTGCCAAGACAAGTTGTGTTCATATTAAAGAAAATTAAAAAAAAAATGTTTGGGCTAATTTTTTTGATTAAAACTAAATAATAAATGCATACTAATATAATTAAAATTGTCATTTTATTTTTGGTTTTCCGAGTCTGAATAATGTTAGCCGCAATCTGCATACAATTTATTTCATGCGCGTTTAAATCATAACAGTTTTGGTAAATGAAATTATTGTTAATTTTTTTTTTAATATATCGTGTTTTTTTTTGTTTTTTTTATATTAAATATAAGTATTTTTTCCCCTACATTAAGCAAATCGAATATTTGTATAGTATTTTTCTAAATCCAAAAAATTTGTGATAAAATTATTAAATTTTTGTTTATATTTACTTACTAAGTTTTTTTTATGTTTAAATTAAGTGCTTATGGTATGGTGCAGCTGTTCCTTTCATATTTATTGCATATATATTTAAATTTAATTTACATGATTTATTATAAGTATTTGTTTTATACAGTTTGGTGGAAATATTCCTTTTTTATGTTTAATTTTTGTTTGTTTTTACTTAATTGATACAATGCAGTCTAACTTTTTAGTTTATTATTAGCTTATGTTTAACTTAAACAGTTCAAGCTCATAGTAAACTTTATACATGGGATGAGTAGTTTCAACCTAAACTTTTTACTTACCAGAATGAACAGAACCTTTTTTGTGTGTTAAAGGAATAATTTAGATTAGGATAAATGGATAAATTAGGCAGAAAAGTTTGAAATCTAATTATGGCAGGAATAACAACTATAAATAGTTTAACTTTTTAATTTATTATCAGTGTGAGTAATTGTCATAATTTTATCAATAAATTTTGCAGAAAATGATAAAACTATAAATAATTTGCATCATGTCATAATTTTATCAACAAATTTTGTGGAAACCAAATAACATAATACTACAAATTCCTCAATTTGTATTATTATTTGACATAAAACACAAAAACAAAAAGCAGTAACATAACAAAAGCAAACACATTATAATGAGGAAAAGTATGCACAAAAATATTTGAAGAAAGAGTTTAAAAATATATTAGTGTTAAATAAATTCGAAAATTATGTAGTATAATACCAGATTCTCATCAGGAAATGGATATAATACTGACCCTTATAAGAATTCAATACTGCGGTATGTCAGACCTTGTTTTAAATAAAAGATGCTTAATGCATTAGCTTAAAGCGATATTTGACATCATAAAATTTTCTTTATTTTTTATTTTTTAAAGACATTAACTTTTTTAAATTACAGAAATAATATTAATTACCACAAATTGAGTTAAATGTTATTTAATGGCTTTTTTATTATTAATATAAAGGAATGTTTATTTTCTTATATATTTTTTTAATATTAAATAAATTTAATATTGCATTTTTAAAAGTGTCTGATATTAACAAATTTCTTTCTTTCCTCAACATTTGCATAAATGAATTAAAATATGTTACTTTTTTGAATTTTTAAATGATTATTTCTTAAATTGTGGCTTTGCAACTACAAATGATTTTTTATTTAAAAAAAATTAGCAAGTAACAAATAAATAGATTAATAAATGAATAAATTATGGCACAAAAATTATGGAATAACTATAAATAGTTTAACTGTTTAATTTATTATCGGTGTGAGAAATTGTCATAATTTTATCAATAAATTTTGCAGAAAATGATAAAACTATAAATAAATTGCATCATCATGGTAAGGATAATGTGATAAACCAATTAACATAATATTACAAAATTCCTAAATTTGTTAGACATAAAACATAAAAACAAGCAGAATTCTCTACTTTTTTTAAAAAAAAAAAATATGCACATAATCAAAGTACATAAGTCAAAGAATTCAGCATTGAATAAATTTGTAAATTATGCAGTATAATACCAGATTTGTAAGGAAATGGATATAATATTGACCTGCCCTTGTATTAATTTTGGAATGATTCTTTTTGTCATTTTCTCTTTTGACATGCTGAAACATAAACCATCAAAATTTATATATACCAATTGCCTTTTTCAATAAAGTAGCAGTTATTAAATCTGAGAATAACCAATAAAAAATATATGAGAACCCGACGTGTTTGCATTACTACAGCACCAATAATAGCGCAAACTGTCATTTTAAAGTTTGATTAAAAACTTAGAATTTAAGTATATCATTTTTGTGCTCTTTTTTATACAATTTATACCTTGCATAAGATCCAGACAGCTTACTATTAATTAACACAATAATTTTCATACTTTTGCAATAATTCAAGACAGATAGTGATTTAAATTGAAATCATCATGCATTTAGAGTGCAATTAGAGTGCAAATAGAGTGCATTATAGAGAAACAAATCATCGTAGAGTGCAATTAGAGAACGTTGTGTATTTGGCATTTCTCAATTAATGTCTTATTTTTAAAGCATGTCATATTAAAACCTGTCTCTCAACATAAGTTACAAAAACTACCGGAAGAACAGTTTCAACATTTAAAACTCAATTTTGAAAATTGACCAAACATGTTATGCTATACCATTTTTCTATTTTCACCTAAAGAATTGCAATTTTGTCACTTTGAAAACTTCAAAAAGATAAAAAACGCAATAAAAATTTTACAAAATTATATAAATAAATCTAATATTAAGAATATTAAGAATTAAATAAATTATCAAATCTGCAGATTGCGGCTAACATTATACAGACTCAGAAAACAAAAAAAAAAAAATAAAGACAGCAAGCTTCGACTAAAACAACAATTTTTATTTTATTGCAGGCCTTGTGATAAAGCGTCGGGCGATGTGAATTTTACATCGTCCAAGAGCG